CTGGCGGAACTGCCGCTCTCTCTGCCTTCTCCTTTCCCTGTCCCATGCTTGATTTTTTTCTTTTTTTCCCTTTTCCTTTCTATGTTCTTTGCCCCAAAGGTGAATCTCTGCTAAGGAGCAGAAGTTGATGGCTAATTTTGTATGCATTGTTAGTCTCAAAATAAGGAGGAGGCTAACAATATGTTGATGCCCAGCTTGCTAGCAGTTGTGATTCTTTGGGTTGCTACTTTGAACTGACCTATGTGAGGTGATTTTCAGAGGAGGGTTTATTTATCTTGTATTTGTTTAACTATTTATTTATTTATTCCCCAATCTAAATATTAGCAGCCTCTTGCAGCATAAAGTCTGCTGAGTTGGAGGTGGTATTGATTGACTCTAACATCTCTTTTTTTTTTTTTTTCCCTCATAGCTTTTTTTATGCTGCTGTTGTCTGTTGAGGTTGAGTTTTGAACCCAGATCTGGGGATGGTGGGAGGAGGTGGATGTGCTTCTGGTGGGTTTGGCCCTCCCCGTTGTGCCCCTCACCTCCTCCCGTCCCTTTCCCCTGCCTGTGCCTGAGCTGGGATGTCCCTTCCCCAACTCCTGGCTGAGTGTCCCGGAGGAGAGGAGCTTAGGCAGGGAGGTGAGCTCTCACCCACCAGTGGACAGCTGGAGACTGACGTTGCTTGTTGTGTTATTTTGCAGGTAAAGATGAGCCCAGCAGCTACACGTGTACGACTTGTAAACAGCCTTTCAACAGCGCCTGGTTCCTCTTGCAGCATGCACAGAACACGCACGGCTTACGGATCTACCTAGAAAGTGAACACGGCAGCCCCCTGACGCCACGGGTTGGTATCCCAACAGGACTAGGTGCAGAGTGCCCTTCCCAGCCACCTCTCCACGGGATTCACATTGCAGACAATAACCCTTTTAACCTGCTCAGAATACCCGGCTCGGTCTCGAGGGAGGCGTCGGGGCTGGGAGAAGGGCGCTTCCCACCCACACCGCCCCTCTTTAGTCCTCCCCCGAGGCACCATTTGGATCCGCATCGCATTGAGCGCCTGGGTGCGGAAGAAATGGCTCTGGCCACTCATCACCCTAGTGCCTTTGACAGGGTGCTGCGACTGAACCCCATGGCGATGGAGCCCCCTGCTATGGATTTCTCCCGGAGGCTGCGGGAGCTGGCCGGCAACACCTCCAGCCCGCCCTTGTCCCCCAGGCCCTATGCAAAGGTTGTTGCAGCCCTTCCAGCCCGGCAGCAAGCCCCCATTCCTGGCCACGCCGCCCCTTCCTCCTCTGCAGTCTGCTCCTCCTCCCTCCCAGCCCCCCATGAAGTCCAAGTCCTGCGAGTTCTGCGGGAAGACCTTCAAGTTTCAGAGCAACCTGGTGGTCCACCGCCGGAGCCACACCGGGGAGAAGCCCTATAAGTGCAACCTCTGCGACCACGCCTGCACACAGGCCAGCAAGCTGAAGCGCCACATGAAGACCCACATGCACAAGTCCTCCCCCATGACAGTGAAGTCGGACGATGGGCTCTCCACTGCCAGTTCCCCTGAGCCAGGCACCAGCGACCTTGTGGGCAGCGCCAGCAGCGCCCTCAAGTCTGTGGTGGCCAAATTCAAGAGCGAGAATGACCCCAACATGATCCCTGAGAATGGAGATGAGGAAGAAGAGGAGGAGGAGGAGGAAGAGGAGGAGGACTTGAACGAGAGTGACAGGCCGGATTACGGCTTTGGGATGAGCCTGGAGGCAGCCCGGCACCACGAGAACAATTCGCGGGCTGGCGAGGAGGGTCGGTCAATGCCGGATGTCATGCAGGGCATGGTCTTGAGCTCCATGCAGCACTTCAGCGAGGCCTTCCACCAGGTCCTGGGGGAAAAACACAAGCGGGGCCATCTCCCCGAGCCTGAGGTGCACAGGGACACTTGCGACGAAGACTCGGTGGCCGGCGAGTCTGACCGCATCGACGAGGGGGCAATCAATGGCCGGGGCTGCTCCCCGGGGGAGTCTGCCTCGGGAGGCCTGTCCAAAAAGCTGCTGCTGGGTAGCCCCAGCTCCCTGAGCCCCTTCTCCAAACGCATCAAGCTGGAGAAGGAGTTCGACCTGCCGGCCGCCGCCATGCCCAACACCGAGAACGTTTACTCCCAGTGGCTGGCGGGCTATGCCGCCTCCCGGCAGCTGAAGGACCCCTTCCTCAGCTTCGGCGACTCCCGACAATCGCCCTTCGCCTCCTCCTCCGAGCACTCCTCAGAGAACGGCAGCCTGCGCTTCTCCACGCCGCCGGGCGAGCTGGACGGAGGGATCTCAGGCCGCAGCGGCACGGGAAGCGGAGGGAGCACCCCCCATATTAGTGGCCCGGGCCCTGGCAGGCCCAGCTCAAAAGAGGGCAGACGCAGCGACACTTGTGAGTACTGTGGGAAGGTCTTCAAGAACTGTAGTAATCTCACCGTCCACAGACGGAGCCACACGGGCGAGAGGCCATATAAGTGTGAGCTTTGCAACTACGCCTGCGCCCAGAGTAGCAAGCTCACCCGGCACATGAAAACACACGGGCAGGTGGGAAAGGACGTTTACAAATGCGAGATTTGTAAGATGCCTTTTAGCGTGTACAGTACCCTGGAGAAACACATGAAAAAATGGCACAGTGATCGAGTCTTGAATAACGAGATAAAAACTGAATAGAGGTATATTCGTACCCCAGCTCCCCACCCACCCCCGTCCTTAACCCATCCCGCATCCCTGTAGAGGTTTTCTAGTTCCTTGTGATGGAAGTCATGGAAGCTAAGGATATTCGGAAAGTGCTTGTCACCAGCACACCCTGTTTATTTTCTTTTTGTTCTCACCGTTTGAATGCATGATCTGTATCGGGGCAATACTATTGCATTTTACGCAAACTTTGAGCCTTTCTCTTGTGCAATAATTTACATGTTGTGTATGTTGGGCTTTTTGTTGTTTGGGTTTTCTTTTTTAACTTTGGTTGTGTTTTTTTTTTTTTTTGGTTTTTTTTTTTTTTTTTTGGTTGGGGTTATTTTTGTTTGGTTTGGTTTTTTTAAAAATTTGGATTAGACAGCATGTATGGTATGTTATGGCTGGTTTTTAAATTGTCCCTGATTAGTTGCTGAGCAAACACATTGCTGTTTCCAGTTCCGTTCGGGAAAAAAAAAGGAAAAAAAAAGAGGAAAAAAGAGGAGAGGAGGAGAAAAAAAAAGAAAAAGAGAAAAGTGTGAAACAAAAGCAAACCCGAGAGCAAACAAAACCGACCATGCTGCATACATCCTGTAATACATATCATGTACAGTTTTGTTTTGTGTGAAGGAAAACACGCTTTGGGTAACCCTCTGCAGACAGGACCGATAGCACCAAAGAAGCATTGTGTTAGCTAGATTGCTGTCTTAAAAGAATAAACCCACCAATTGGAGAAAGAGTTCCCACTAGGAACAAAAAAAAAAAAGGCCTTTAATTGGAAAGTAACCGACTGGCACTAGTCAGAAAGAGGTAGATTTCTATTAGCGTTTGATTTCAGACACACACAAAATAATCTGAGTGCCTTGGATCTGTCTTGGCCAATGCTGATGGCTCCTTTCTGCTCATCCTCCACACGTAGCTCATCTCCACATCGGGCGCGGTGGTGAGCCTCTCCCACTGAGCGTGCAAGTCTGCCTTGTGCCCCTTGCAGTGCCAGCTACATAGGAATGAAGAGGAAAGAGAAAATTTAAGGAAGAAAAATAAATTACCTGCTCAGTCCTAGTTAATCATCATTCTCCTTTGCCTTTATTTTAGGTTATTATTATTATTATTATTACAATTATTGTTATTTTTAAACCAAACTGATCACACCAGTCTAAAAACCCACTTTGCTCCCAGAGAGAGCTTAAAAGGAGATGTAGGTTCCCCCCCCCCCAAACTTTTATTCCCCCTCCCCATTGATGAATAAATAGAATGTGAAACGTGCAGAGACCCTTCAACACCATTAAACACACCAGAAAGGAAATCCGTTTTATGAAGATATTTACTTTTAATAATATCTTTTATTGATTCTGGCACCCAAACAAATAAATCCGGAGCCACTTGGTTGTCAAGCTGACAATCAAATTATAAACTTTAAGACCTTGTGTATACCGTATAAAAAAATAAAATAAAGACTGGCAATAATATTTTACCGAGTGTAACAGATAGAGGAGCAAAAAAACTAAATAAATTGTGATTTATTAGCACAATGTGGTACTTACTGTTTGCCATTTAAAACTAGAACAGGTGTATAAGCTAATATTGACAGTGATGATTAACTATGAACTATTAAGACTTGCCTTTAATGTGATGCTTGGAAGAAGTAACAGAAAATTTTTTTCAAAAGAGGAAACAAAGCAAAAGAGTAGCAGTATCTGTCTGTGCTCCCTAAAAGTTGTCCTTCCATTTTTTTTTCCCCATACTCTGTGTGCTATTTGTGTTGATGTGGAAGAGGATTCCTTGTTTTATTCTTAAGCTAGCGCCCGCCCCGGTTGGTGTTCAAATAGCACTTGACTCTGCCTGCGATGTCTGTATCTTTTCTTTAATCAAAGGTACAGAGGTTGAGTATAAAATAAGACTGCTCAGATAGGACAATTAAGTGCACTGTACAATTTTCCCAGTTTACAGGTCTATAAGGGAAAAGTTGCAAGAATGCTGAAAAAAAATAAAAGAGTAAAATTGAACATGATCTCATTGATGAGCATAAAAAAACCCCACAAAAACCCACAAACTTTGCCAGCCATTTACTTGACTAATGAGCTTATCTTCTCGGACGTGACATTACAGCGCTGTGAATGGAAACAGACTCTCTACACTCACATAAAATGAATGATTGCTTTCTCTCCTACAGTGCAAGGATTTTTGGTTTTGTTTTTTTTTTTTTTTTTTTTTGTACAAAAAAAGGAAAGAAAAAACACAAAAACTTTTTTTAAATATAAATGTTAAGAAAAATTTTTTTAAGGAAAAAGAAGTAAAAAAAAAACCACGACACTTCATTATGTTTAGGGGGAAACTGTATTTTAGGGTTCATCGTCTTGGTGGTGTACAAGACTTGTTATTCATTTTAAAATGGTAGTGGAAATTCTATGCCTTGGATATACACAGCTCTTCAGGTTGTATAAAAACATGCATTGGGGAAAGGTTTAAGATTATATAGTACTTAAATATAGGAAAATGCACACTCATGTTGATTCCTATGCTAAAACACATTTATGGTCTCTTTTTTCTGTATTTCTAGAATGGTATTTGAATTAAATGTTCATCTAGTGTAGGCACTATAGTATTTATATTGAAGCTTGTATTTTTAACTGTTGCTTGTTCTCTTAAAAGGTATCGATGTACCTTTTTTGGTAGTGGAAAAAAAAAACCACAGGCTGCCACAGTATATTTTTTTAATTTGGCAGGATAATATAGTGCAAATTATTTGTATGTTTCAAAAAAAAGAAAAAAAAAAGACAAAAAAAGTGTGACATTGTACAGATCCGAGGCCATATAATGGCTCCTTGGGGGAAACCTGTTCCGATGTCACACTGCTGGCCGTCACAGAGGGGTGTACATATCTTTTTTCGTTCTTTTTTCCTGCTGCCATACTGTATGCAGTACTGCAAGCTAATAACGTTGGTTTGTTATGTAGTGTGCTTTATGTCCCTTTCCTTCTATCACCCGACATTCCAGCATCTTAACTTCATATGCAGTAAAAGAAAGAAAGAAAGAAAAGAAAGGAAAAAAAGCTAAAAAAAAAAAGGAAAAAAAAGAAAAGAAAAAACCGTTTTGCAGTTTTTTTCATTGCCAAAAACTAAATGGTGCTTTATATTTAGATTGGAAAGAATTTCATATGCAAAGCATATTAAAGAGAAAGCCCGCTTGAGTCAATACTTTTTTGTAAATGGCAATGCAGAATATTTTGTTATTGGCCTTTTCTATTCCTGTAATGAAAGCTGTTTGTCGTAACTTGAAATTTTATCTTTTACTATGGGAGTCACTATTTATTATTGCTTATGTGCTCTGTTCAAAACAGAGGCACTTAATTTGATCTTTTATTTTTCTTTGGGGTTTTTTGGGGGGGATTTTTTTTAATTTTTTTTTTTTTTTTATTATTTGGATGACCAAAGGTCATTACAACCTGGCTTTTTATTGTATTTGTTTCTGGTCTTTGTTAAGTTCTATTGGAAAAACCACTGTCTGTGTTTTTTTGGCAGTTGTCTGCATTATCCTGTTCATACACCCATTTTGTCCCTTTATTGAAAAAAATAAAAAAAAAACCTTAAAGTACACAGTGTCAGCTTCTGGTGTCCTCATTTGACACACGCTGTAGATTGCTTCCAGCAGCAGCTGTAGGAGAAGGTCCTGCGCAGGGGCGTTTTGGAGGGCCCGCTCCTGTCCCCGAGGAGTGCCCGCCACCCAGCTTGGCCTTAAATAAGCCTCCTCTGCCCAGGAAGAGGATTTTTGGGCTAAGGAATTTGCTTTCTGGCCCATGGAAAACATTTGCAGCCTGGACCTGTAGTTTTGGAGTTTTTTTCCCTCTAGTTCAGGACTGAGCTGTGACCCTGATAACCTGCGGCATCCCTGGCCTTCACTCGGTCTGCAGCGGGGACATCGCTCCCCGTTTGGCAATGCTTTGGCAGAAGAGGTGAGCAAACAAAAAGCTCTGCAGCCCCCCTGAGATTCCCCCATCCCCAGCTGGTTTTGGGGACATGGGGTGAAATCGGCCACTGGCATGTGCAGGCACATGGGCAGGAGCTGATTTCTCTCAGGGAGCTGGGATCTCACACCGCGGCTCCGGGATCACACTGACCCCAGCCCAAAGCTCCAGCACTGCTCCTGGCTGGAGCTGGGAGCTCCCCTCTCTTCTCCCCTGGGCTTTTATTTTTTTTGGTGGGAATTGCAGGTTTATGTACGCTGTCTCTAAAATCCGGAGTTCAGGTCCTTCCCGTTCCCACCTTAGGGGTCTGTATATGTTGTCAGTTTGACAAATACTGCATGTTGCAGCATCTCTTTACTTTATTAAAGCACGTACCGCTGTGATATTGTCTCTTGCTGTTCCTAGTGTAATGGATTTCAGACTTTTTTTTCTTTTCCTTTTTTTGATTTCTGTAAAACCTTCCAGTTGTTCTGTCGTCTTCTTGTGATGGCATCATTTGTTGCCTGTATTTTGCCCAGCACCTTCTGAAGGGGAGGTTTGCAGTTAAAAAAAAAGACAGAAATATATATCTAAAAAAAAAAGTGTTTCTTTTCTGAGAGAGATTTAAAAAAAAAAAAGCTCCGTTTTAATCCCAGAAAAGAAGGAATGAAGGTTGCATTGTCCAGGCTAGCTGGATGAGCTTCAGGGGGGCTGGAAAAGTGCTGGCAGTGCCCTCCAAACTGCACTCCCCTTCGGCAGGCCAGTACACACTGGCTGTTGCCAAGGTGGATGCTGTGCCAGAGCCATGTGGATGTGGGTGTTGCTGGAGGGATCCCGAGCACAGCATAGGGGAGGCAGAGTCTGTCCCAGCGTGGTGGGCTCAAGGTGATGGGGATGGACGCAGTGGCTGTTCCCAGGAGTGCTAGTGTACATGGGCATACGTTTTGCAGCTGCCTTCATGACACGACTCTTTGATCCGTGCCATGAAATACGTGTAGAGTCTGGCCTCTCACTATTTTATTGCTGGTTATTCACACTGTGGTCGAGACATTGACTAGAGGGCTTATGTTAGCAGGTGTGCCTGGAGTCGAGTGTAGCCTGACTGTCTTTTGGAGCGGGTGCTCTACCCTGTGTCTATCCTATGGTGGTTGTCATTCCACTACCTTTTTCTATACTATGTTTTACATATGAAATAATCATATATACAACCATCTATATACAGGCATCACCAGGTAGATCTAGGCTCCATGCGCTGCTACGAAGATTA